TCTATCGATTGCTTTGAGAAGTTCAGCTCTCTGTTTCTGAATCAATTTGCGAGTGCCAGGAAGCATGAGAAGACGTACCTCTCGTTGATAAATATGCAGCAGAAGGAGGGGAGACCTTGCGGCAATATGTAGCGCGGTACACTAAGGAGTGCGTGGAGGTCCCCTCTGCCTCGGAAGAGGTAAAAGCTGGAGGCCTTACTCGAGGATTGAGGCCTGGGAAATGCAGGGATTCCTTGGCGAAGCGGCCGGCAAGGTCATTTGACGAGCTCTTGGAGAGGTGTAGTAAGTATGTGAATATGGAGGAATCGGAGGCGGACTTCATCCGGAATGATAAAATAAAGGCTAAGCAGGTTGAGGAAAGGCCTCGACAAGGTGATCGACGAGCTCCCCTTAAGGAGTCTCGGGTCGAGGATCGATTCAGGGGTTCGAGGTACGAGCACTACAAACTACTTAATGCTCCACAACAGGAGATCCTGGAGATGATGGAGAAGCGGGGGGAGGATAAGCTGCTTGCACAACCAAAGCCCCTACCCCCACCGTGGAAATTTTCAGAAGGAAAGGATAGATATTGTTGGTACCACCGATACTATGGTCACTCTACTAACTTTTGTCGAGAGTTGAAGGATGAGATTGAGCGGCTCATTAGGGCCACTCATTTAAAGGAGTTCGTGATCCAGGATAGGGAGCGCCGAGAAGATCGCCGGGAGGAGCGTGAGTCAGGGGACAAGCGGCGGAGAACTGATGAGCAGCCTGATAGACCGGTGAAAAAAGGTGTAATACACATGATCGCGGGAGGTCCTACGGATGGAGACTCACACAGGGAGAGGAAGAGGACCAACCGGGGTAAGGGTGTGGCTAATGAGGTGGCTGAGGTACAGGTGCAGAGGAGCTGGGCCACCTTGAAGTTTGGAACTGGCGATGTGCAGGGGCTTGCCGTCCCACACAATGATGCCTTGGTCATCACTGTGGAGATGGCTAGTTACGATGTGCAAAGGGTACTCATAGACACAGGAAGCTCGGCGGAC